TTCTAATACAGTAACTTAGATCTCAATGGTCAATAAAAAAATGCAAGTTCAGTGTATTAAATGAACAATATAAATCAGTTGTGATTGATATTTCTTTTCATGATAACCCAAATATGCAAGATAAAAATATTTGGATCTTTGACCAAAAAATATTTTGATCATAACTAAGATTTAGCTAATTTTTTATTCATTTCCTCACCTTTCCATATGATTTTTAGATGGTAAAATAATAAATTGTAAGTTTTACTCATTTCTAAATCAATATATAATATATACTTTAAAACAATAAATGCAATATATCTGCATATTATATATTAAATATAATGATATTTTTCTAACACCGGGCGTAGCCTAAATAAAATCTCTAGTCATAGTTAAAATGTTATAATGATTCTCTTTTAATATATAAGAAATTAATTTAGACACAATTATTAATAGAATCCTATGAGCGTAATTGCCTCCCCCCCTAAAACCATCCTTTAGAACGAGGTCCATTAAAACAAAGCCCAATAACTGGATGGTGTTGTGTCCGAGTATTTTTTTTTTTTTCTTCGAGTCCGACCGAGTACTTGTACTTTGTATTCTTGTAGAGAGAGGAGTGGAGCCTGGGTTAGGTCGTGCCGAATTTGGCAATGTCGTCCAGTGGCATCGATTCCGGTCCAGAACCACCGTCGAAGACGACGGCAGTAGGACCGACCTCAATTATGCAACTTCCAGATGAATTAGTATTGAGTTGCTTAGCTCGGGTCTCGAGATTGCATTACCCGATTCTCTCACTCGTATCCAAGACCTTTCGATCACTCACTTGTTCACCGGAGCTTTACCAGAATCGATATCTCTTAAACCGCACTGAGAGGTGCCTCTATGTGTGTTTACAGTTCCCTACTGGCGCAGCGTACGAATGGGTGAACGGTCGATCTAAGAATTTAGGGTTCTTGAGACCTGTTCTTGGATCGATCAAGAGTTTCCGGAGATAGCTTCTTGAGACCAACTTCTTATTTAGATGAATTGAATCAAATCGAAATAAGGTATAAAAGCAAAGCTTATTCTTTATTAAATCAAAAACGTGCCTGAACATTATGTCNAAAAAAAAGAAATAGAAATCATAAAACTAAGGCCACGCAGTATTGTAGTTTGAATCCGTCATGTTGGCGCCATATTCGAAGATGCTGCTGCATCAGTCCCTCCGGGTTTGAAAGATTCGACCTCGAATCGAAATGGAAATCGCTGCTCCCAAACCTTCAAGAGAACAATCTGACTTGCGTTCTTGTACCTCTCTTCTGAACCACCCCCAATCGCATATGTCCCTTTAATCTTCAAGTACAAAGTAAGTGGTGCATGATTAAACGTACACTCATCATGTTCCAGCCAATCGATGTAGCCGGTGTCATGGTGACATCTTGTTCTCCTTGTGCTGTAGAAATCACGAACACTCATCCAAAACTCCAAATGTGCCAACACTTGAGCTGCTAACACCTTATCACATTGATTAACGAAACACATCACTGTATTGTCTCTTGAAAATAACACAACGAAGTGTATATGATCACCAAGCGGCAAATACTCCTTAATAATAACTTTTTTTAATAAAGCTCCAGTAGTAAGTATTGCACCAGAAAGATCTACTATCCCCATCAGAACAAACCCACGAAGATAACTAGGTGGCCGCAACCAACGAAAGAACCACGCCAAAATATTTATATGCGGTGAACAACAACGCGAAACACCAATTCCTTCAGCCATTATCCATGCGAGAATCGAGAAACAAGTGATTGAGGATGAAGGAAAATCAGAGAAGTCCAAAGCAACGAGAATAGCTGAGTTTAAACTCCCAAGCAGTGTCACTTGATCCCAAAAAGACATCAACTTCGCATAAGTAGAATTTGTAGTCATTACTACCCTCTCAAATCCATGACTAAAAAGAAGAACCCAATGTAGAACATACCTTCTCGTCTCTTCCTTTTCACTCATGGTGAAATCAAACATTAAATTTGTTGTACAATTCCATAGCAGACTCATTCTTCCTCCTACTTGTATAATATCTCCATCAAGCTCCTCTGGCCATGTCAAAATATGCCACTGTAACTCATACATAATAGTCGTAAGAAGCAGAATTGTAGATTCCAAGTCCATTGTAAAAATCTGCAGAGGATGCTGTAAACGTCTCAATATTCTTGCACACAACCCGAACAAGCCTGTGGAAAAAAATATACGGAGGACAGCGTGGTCAACAACATCCCATAATGTCATCACCCCAAGACTTATAGTGGAAAGAAAATGTCGGACGAAACTTGAGATCCCCATGAGCCACATAGATCTAACAAACTGTGATACTTCCTCAATAAGACTATTTTCCACATCAACGTAAGATCCCAAAGTCATTATACACATGACTCTTAGGTTCTCTTGATAAGTTACCCACTGCAATCCAGTGGCACGCAAAAACCCTCTTGACTCTGTTGTAAATATGTAAGGAAGTGACATGAATGGCCTAAAAGTTGACAGTTTGCACAGAAACTCATATTCCTCCAAGCAAAAAGCGACACCACAAAGAAATTCTCGTACGGCTGCAAGGTCTATTTCTAAAAACCCCACACCAGCATGAAAGATCATACAATGGAAGATCAATCTCCCTCCGTCGCAAAATTTGTACTCTTTGCTCGTATGTTGTAAAAGATCAGAATGTTTCTTGCCTATACAAGAAATAGAATTAATCTCGTACGTCGAGGAAAAAAATCTCAAGCTTGTGCTAGGACTCAGTCGAAGAGGTGTAACAAATATCAACCTCCATAGAGCTAATATCAGATCACGAACCCACATGATTCTATCAAGAGCAAAGACAAAACTGTATTTGTTACTCACTTCATTATGCATCACGTCTTTGTCTTGTTGCCATATTCTTCGAAATACCAAGTTGTCCATGTCACCAAAACCCACTGAAAACCAGAAATATTTTTGTTTTATGTGCCACAGATAAGACACACACACCACCGGTAATAAATCATTGTCTCCCTTGCTAGGTTCACTCAACAATTCAAAAGTAAAACTTTCTTGCTCTGAAGTGTTGCTATATTTCCGCTTAACATTGATACACATGTCAACGAGCACTCCCCCATGGTTTGTATAAATATCAGATTTTAAGTCTGTCAAACACCTTTGATCTAAAAGATCTTGATGCTGAGACAAGCTATTTTCACAACAACGAGTGTGCACCTTCGAGACGTTTAGAAGATCCACAACGTGATCCTTGGAACCCTTAAATACAATATCGTTTGGTGAAGCTGACATACCTCTAACAAAAACAGTTTGTGAACTAGTTGAATCTCCTTCATAACCAAGACCAGTCGTAGTCTTCCCTGTTCTTCCCATACTTAAAATCTTGTCTAACGTCGCGGATCCTTTGTTTAACATACGGATTTTCTTATATGTCTCATTCAACTCATGTTCCAAACTCAAGCTCTTCCCTTTCTCACACACAAGAGCCTCTTGAAGTTCAATAATCTTATTTTCCAATTTGCGTTTCTCAGAAAAAGACATCACACTCACCTCATTCTTTTGAACTTGCTTAAATTTCGGAGTACAAACCCTGGTATCGAACAACTCTGTGTCCTCTTCCGCACATTCTGAGCCACTGCATGTTGGAACAAAAAGACAATGTCTTATAACATGATTTGAATATTCATGTTTTTTTTTTATATCACGATCTGGTGGTTTGCGAATGAGGTGTCGGTGACAATCCTCTCTCCATACACCATAATTCGCATGTTGCTTCATCGGACCTGGAGATGTGTCATTATCCTTCTCGCCATTGACTATATCACGTTCTAGTTGTAGCTCTTCAACACAAAATTCTTTTGTTGACCCACTGTTGTTCCAAAAAAATTTTCCGCCCAGATCAGATGTTTCAGACATCGTTTGCAAGGTATGCGTTGCATCCGTGAGATAAATTTTCTTTTTGACACTATTACTTGTGGCAAAATCTTCTTGAGAAAGCGTTGAATTTTCTCGAGCATATCCTAACTCATTAAAATTGACGCTTTCATCTTTCACTTTGTTCAAAGTGATTTGGTTCATCTCGTCTTCTTCAAACGTGTCATAGATTGGAGAAATTTCTGCGACGTTTTCGACAGCCACTTCATAGGTTAAAAAAGATTCTGCATCGTCTTGATCAAACACGTCAAATATTGGATCAAACTTTTTTTCTGAAAAGTTTTCTTCATCGTCTTCTGTATCGTAAACATCAAAACTCGGTCCTCCATGTTCAACAAAATAGGAGTCCTCGTTGTCTCTTGAGTTAGAACGTTTTGCATCTAAATCTTCATACTCGTTATCCAAGTCTAAATCATTGTTGTTGAGACTGCAATCATGCTGCTGAATAACTGGAGTAAAAAATTTCTTGTCCCCCTTTGCGTCTCTGTTATTACCATTATGTTTACAGCGGATTGCAGGGGCTGTACGTTGCATGATTAAGTTTGTCACGGTGGTCACAAGGGAAGCGATTTGGGTTTGAAGGTCAGTGATAGATTGTTTGGTGGCTGGGGTGTAGTCATCAGTTTGTTGCTGAGAACGGCGATAGGTATGAACCATCGTAGCGGGTTGAGAAAGTTTCGGAGCGTAGCAAAGCTCTGATACCAACCTGGCGCAGCGTACGAATGGGTGAACGGTCGATCTAAGAATTTAGGGTTCTTGAGACCTGTTCTTGGATCGATCAAGAGTTTCCGGAGATAGCTTCTTGAGACCAACTTCTTATTTAGATGAATTGAATCAAATCGAAATAAGGTATAAAAGCAAAGCTTATTCTTTATTAAATCAAAAACGTGCCTGAACATTATGTCNTATATAGCTAATTCCATTGACAAACCATATGGAATTAGGAATCTAAAGATTAACATAAAAAAAAGGAAATATCATGATTATCATGAAATATCATGATTATCAAAAAAAAAAAGAAATAGAAATCATAAAACTAAGGCCACGCAGTATTGTAGTTTGAATCCGTCATGTTGGCGCCATATTCGAAGATGCTGCTGCATCACCTACCGAGCCCAACCTTCGTTGGTTCACTCTATGTCGGAAACCAGACAAAACCCTTAACAAGAAGAAGAAGAAGAAGAAAAAGACAGATTCAATAAGTGGTAATGTTTTGGCTCCGGTTCAGATTCTCAACTCTGCTCCCGTGGAAGGGTCAAACCTCGTAGCTGTTGGTCATAAGCTCTACGCTATCAACAAAGAAGAAGATGATCCTTCCTCCTGTTCTTCTAACGTCTTCTTCCTCGACTGTCGAACGCACAAGTGGGTCGAAACTCCAAGCTTGCGGCTTGCTCACACCGTTCCAGAAATGATGTATTTAGCAGGGAGCTACGAGAATCCAGATTCCTTGAATTGTGTTCAAGTGTTCAACGTAAAGACGCAAACTTGGAAGCCCGTGCCAAGTGATAAGAAGATATTCAGAGCCAGAAATTACCAAGGACATGTTTACAAGAGCCTTGATGTGGCGTTTGGTAGGTGGGGTTTGGTTGTAAAGGTAAAAGATGCTACAGCGGATCTGGTAGGGTCTGCTACTACTTGTTTTATCGACAAAATATTCTATCGTTATGAATCCAACGGAGTGTTACTTTGGGCCAACAGCGCAGCAGATGGTTGGAAGAAAGTAAAAGGTTTGGAAGGACTGCCTAAGTTTGCCCGTAATAGTAATGTTAATTTGGTTCATTATGGTGGTAAGATGTTGGTGTTTTGGGATAAGTATGTGCCTGCTCGTGGTGGGTATAAGGAGAAGATGATTTGGTGTGCTGAGATTTCTCTGGAAATGCGCAGCACTGAAGAGGTTTGGGGAAAGGTCGAGTGGTTCGATGCTGTGCTCACAGTACCCAAGTCTTACAAATTCGTGTATGCTAGTACTGCTACGGTATGATTAGCCACTCATGAGACAAGTTTGAAGAGAATGAATCAGGTTATGTGTTGTTAGTATGAAGGTATGTTCTGTTTCGTGTAGATTAAGCTTATTTTGTAACTGTCTCTTTGATTTCAAACTCTTCCTGCTACTCTTTTATGAACTGGTAGTGTTTTCCTTTCTTTTGTTTGTGATTATGTTAAATGCTTTTTATCTTTACTTTGTGTCTTTGACAACATTTTTTGTTTGTGTTGATGTCGCATAGAAAGTTACGGTTCACTTTACAACCATGACTAGGCCAGGGCATTTTACCCGAAACCGAACCCGATTTAAAAACCTAAAATTGAACCCGATCATTTATATCTCTATACCGAAATATCCGACCTAAACCCCTCAACCCCGAGAATAGTGCTTGACATTTTTTGTCACTGCTAATTAAGGTCTCCAGAGTTGTCTTCTAGCTAACTAAATGAAGACACACAATTACTGTTTGTTTCTCATCTGTCTAATGATCAGTTTGCAGAAGAAAACGTGGCTTGGTTATGCTTACATTACATTCATGTATTGTCTGTATAAAAATCGTTTAAATATTGTGTTCTTTATATATATATATACTAGTTTTGAACCCATGCTACGCATGGGAATATTATTTTGTTACAAAGACCAAACTTCAGTTATATATAACTAAACTTACATGTATTGATTGCACTCTTAACTAAAATTTCAATTAAACTCTTGAGTTTCCATTTGTAAATTATTATCTCCCGGTAAATTCATGATTGCACTGCTTAAACTCTTCTTATTTGTCTATGATAGTAAATAATAATAAGATCATCAAGAGTAGAATCCAAGTAATATAAGCGACATAAGATTGTGTACACAATAAACGCAGTAGCCATGTGACCTGAGATAAAGAACGTAGACGTCAACGGGATCACCAAGTTCTTTAAACGGCACATGCTTAATTTTATTTTATCAGTGCCATTTCTGCTGACCAAACATCAGTCGGTACATCTACGTTGATGTTCTCCATCCTCTGATCTTCTTTTATCAGGAAGAATTGTTCATGTCAAGATGGAAGCATCAGTGTTTAAAGTGGATTTCTAACATTATATTTAAAAAAGCTTTCAGGAGTCTAACCTTCTAATAAGCTTTGACCGTAAGGTTTGTCACTTCTTCCGAGGCTTTTATTTGCTTCTGCAAAGATGGAAGCATCACATCATTTACGTAAAGTGATTATTATATAATTATCAAATATTGTATTTACTCATGCAATTACACCTGGATATCAGCGATAGCACACGATTAGCTTGAAGCTGATAGATTGAGATGCCAGTCGCCATGTCTTTTGGCTTGCTTTTGATATCACAGTCGATATCTGTTAATTTTACAAACCATAAAAGAGACAGCAATTATCTGAATTCGGTTAATTAAAGATCGGAACTACACAATGATCACATAAGTTTTATAAGGATAGAGATTTATAATAAGATTTGCATGAGAATAAACAATCCTAATTGCAGCTTGTCACCTTTTATGAAAATCGTATTGTGCCATGTCTAAGTTTGCTTTCTTCCATCATCCCCTTTCTTTCTTCTTTTCCCACCCTGAAGTCTCTTTGAACTGGTAAAATCTCCACCAACTCGGATTCACCATATATTCATTCTCTCTGAGATGTTCTTAGCCCTAAACAGGTTTTTGTGAAGCAATAATGGGCTTCGCCTAAGCCAAGCAGATTGTACAGAAGAGGAAAATAGTGTAACTGGAAAATTTGGGGTTGCTGAGATATGTTTACTCAGAATATGAAACTCCACACTGACTCAGGACATTCTCTATGGCTCCAATTTTGAGTTAAGAGTATCAAAACTGAAGAAGAAAGAGTATAAACCTTTCTTATTCTATTCTCAGTCGATTTCAGTTTTGATATCGTTTGTTGTTTGTTTGTCAACGATTATAGAGAGATAGGAATATAAGAAAAAAGATCGTGGATGAAGAAAGATGATCATGGGTAGTGGGAGTTGTTTCAAGAAGCCGTTGATAAGTTTTTTAGTCATTATCTTGTTTTTTTTTTTTTTTAATTATGTAAATATTGCTTATGTGTCAAAATTCTATTGGTCAAGTGACTTGTGATTTAGTATATAAAGGATATGTTACAAAAATTGTGATAAACTCTCATATATATCATGCTACAAAACTAACCATACTACACTTGGCAGAGCCGAGTTTAATACCAGTCTACCAGATCTCAACTTGCATTCCACATGGAAAACGATGGAAAAAATTCAAAATATATACATAGGAGGAGAGACCTAAAGAATCACACCAACAACAAAAAGCTATTTGTTGTATCCTCATGAGGAAGACACTGTAAAAACTATGGAAGGTTTGATTAAGACGATCATATTCTTAAGAAATCACCGGATTGTTGTTCTACCAAAGGACGACGCCCCGATTCTGCTCTCCCTGCTCTGAGAAACGAGAAAGGAGAAACAGAGGATGGTCCATGTGTGTGTGTGTTATGCATTGTTGTGATTAAAGAGTCAGCAAATAAAGCATATTAAGGTTCTTTCTTTACCTGAGATTTCGGAGATGGGAACACATTCCAGAACCTTAACGTTTCATCTCCTGCTCCTGTAACGATCGTCTGCCAACACAAAAGATCCATCATACAAGAGAAACTATGTTGATGCTATAACATTCTTCTAACCTGTCCATCTGGTGAAACCGCAAGATACAGAACACGGAACGTATGACCCGTGAGAGTTGCTAACTGTTAAAAGACCCAAAGAAATGTCGGTTGTCTAAAAATCAGCAAGAAAGAGAGACAGTAACTCTTACTTTAGACATGGTTGGGTATTTCCAAACAATGATTTGGTTTTGTGAATATCCATGCGTGCTCACAAGCTCGTTCACGTTCTTAGACCAAGCCAAATTACACACCTGACTATTAGTGTCTACACAACTTAAATGAGTGTTTGTCGTCGTGTTCCAGAATCGGATACATCTATCAGCAGTGCCACCACCTGAAGCAAGTAGTCCATGCAGGTGTGGTGACCACGCGATGGCCTTAACCGCTGCTGTGTGTTCACAGTATCTCAAAACCGGTTGTGTTGAATGTTGGTTCCATACGAGAAGCTGTAACATCCTAGAATCATGAACCATGTTCCAAAGAAGATCAGACCCAATTATATATTTACCTTATTGTCGTTTCCACCTGATGCTAGCTCACGATTGTCATAAGACCATTTGAGTCCACAGACTTCTGATCTGTGACCTGTTAGCGTACTGACATGATCTTCTTGAGACCGTATGTCTCTCTGAAGTATCTTCTTGTCTCTGCTACCGGAAGACAAAACAGATGAGCTCCACGCCAGGGCTCCAACTCGTAGTCGATGTCCTTCCATTGTTCTTATTCTCCTGCAGCGCAACGCATCCCAAATCTAGTGAAAAAACACATTAAGAGCAATGCATCAATTACCATCAAGAGTTAACTGCATTCTTGCAAGAATAACACTTACAGAAAGCCACATCTAATTATGTTATGTAATGTATAGACTCAAACAACCAAATGTGACTTGTTCAAACATACCTCTACAGGTCCGCTACTAGTTCCAATCGCCAAATGTGTTCCACGTAGTGCCCAACTGACTGAGCAAACGCTTTCGTCGCCCCCGAGATCGCATAACTTAGTTACCTGCAAAGACATTTACCAAGTCAAAAACACTTGAACACTCTTTTGAAATCAGGAAGAAAAAGCAAAGAACTCACACTGCTACTACAAGCATTCCACAGATAAACGCAGCTGCCTAATCCAACTGCAAGAACATTTTGTGACGACCAATCCACCAGATTCAAGTAAAAATCATCTTGCAGAGCCGGCGCATCCAATACCTAACAATAACAACAACATCCACAGAGCAAATGCAAGATCAGAAAGAACCTACATTTGTACTCACTGTATAAAGAGTAGACGTTACGCATTCACTAAACATCAAGAGCTAAAGTGGCTCCTAAGAGTACTGTTATTAGCAAAGAGTTCACATACATGCACTCAAAGAGATGAAAACAATTGGAACACAATCAAGAATTACAATTCTCAAGCCCTAAAATGTATCAACACTACACAAATCACTGAACAGAGAATAGGCATTGCACATTCTCAAAACCAGCTCTCACACACACACACACACAAAGAGATAAAATCCTAAAATGTATCAACACCATCCAAGAAACACACAAACCCAGAATAGCAACCCTAATCTCAAACCCACAAACCCTAAATTCCAATCCTAAACACCATAAGTAATCCACAATAGTAAACCCTAATCTCAACCCTAAAGTCCATAACTTTAAAAACCCTAAACACAGTAAAAAACCTCAGCGACCCTCACCTTATAAGCCGACTTAAGAATATTCCGCGGCGACTTAACCGGACTCCGGCTAACACTAGGACCCTCATCACACCCAAACGGTGCAAACGAGTTCACTGGCCGCTGCGTCTCGGTCTTGTACCGGAAAATATTCTTTGAAGGAGAGAAGCCAGTTACGACATCTGTTTTCTCGGGCGTCTCCGGTCCGAAAAGAGCTGTTCGCAACATACCGGCGTAAGAGCCAGGCCCATCTTCTTTCCCGTCCTTCTTGGGGGACGGTTCGAGGCCGAAAAGAGCGAAGTTAGAACCGGATCTACTGGGAATAAACCGGTCGGAGTAGATTGGTTTGGAGGGGGAGTGGTAATGGGTGGAATGGATTAAACGGTTGATTCGTTGGGTCTCGAGTGAGACCGTCGGCCGATTCATTGACGGTGGGAGGTTTAGTTGAGAAGATGAAGAAGAAGAAGAGGGATGAGTGGTTACTGGAGGATCTTCGTCTTGCTCCATGGTTGGTTTGATTCTCTTGCTGCTTCTTTCGTCCATGATTCCAGATTTGCGGAAATCTTTTCTGTTTTTTTTTTCCTTTCTTTCCCGGGAAATTCTAGGGGAAACAGAAAATGTAAAGGGAAAAATGGTGCGAAAACAAGGGAGTGATCAGCTGTGGTAGGATTTATAGTTTGTACGGTACATCCTTTTTGTTAATGGATAGTTTAGTTGGGCCTAAAACGTTCCCCCCGTAGGTTTGACAGCCCAGTATTTATTTTTAATGCAGCACAATACTTGAATTTTCAAATTAATCCTCCACTACATTAGGCATAACAAAATAAGAAATTTAAAAGTATAAAACTTCTTCTATAGAATTAGAAACTCCATAAACACACAATATAATAATGGTTAAAATTTAAAAGTTTCTGCACCCATATCCTAAGTTTAAGTCCAAACAATACATTTTTTTGCAGATTATACGACACAAAACTTTTTGGTACTTTATAATATTGTCTATAGACAGAATTATTCATTGTGATCGCCAAGATCGGTCCTGAGTCATGCCTAGAGAAACATTCGCCTCAGGCCCCCCCCCCAAAATTTTGAAAAAGATTTTTAGACTACCAAAATTTTTTTACATAGAAATCACAACAGACCCCATAATCTCAGGACCGGCCATGTGATCGCATAAAAAAACTTCATCGTGTAATCCTTATCTTTAGAGTTATTCATTAATATTATTGCATATGTTATAAGTAGTTAATCATCATATCATATATAATGCAACTAGAGATTATATGATGATATAATTAGTGATTTACCTAGTGTTACAAAAGAATTAAAAATTCTATATATTAATACTCGATAAATTAATAAACACTATAATTTAATAATTGAACTGCTTCAAAATATAACACAAATTAATAAAAAATAGATAATAACCTTTTAAATAATCTTATGCAAATATAGGATCTTATTAAAATTATAAATTAATAAATATACATATATATATATATAATATAAGTATAAATCAACAATTATTTTAAATATTAATACAATTTAAGCAAATATCAGGTAATATAGAAGGTTGTATTTAAGGAAAGCATATCAACTGTACATTACGAATTAATTTTATGATTATTTTTATGAAAACTATAATATATATACAATGGACCAACATATTTCTTCAGAGACTTTTATAAGGATTGTGGTGTGTCATAGGATTAAGGAAAAATATGTTAATTCTACATTATTAATTAACTTTATGCAAAATATAAATATATATTTAATGAACCAACATATTTCTCTAGAGACTTTTAAAAAGATTATGGTGATGACACGTGTTTTAGCTAAAATGTTGAAATACTTTTCTTTTATATATAAAAGATTAGGTTTCTAGTTTTAGGATAAAACAAGAATGTAAGAATGGTCAATAAATTACAAGACTCTAAAAAGACATATTTTATACAAACCAAACAATATAATAAAATTAATAGAAATTTTATACAAACCAAAAAATATAATGAAATTAATATAATGTTTGAGATTCAAAAAAATAATTAATGTATATACACTTGAATCAAATATTTTCTTATATTAGAAATAATATAAACAAGAATTTTTTTGTTAATTAATAATTTTATAAATTAATAAAATACTAAAAATCCAACATTATTTATTTGTATAGTTTTTACTGTATAGGTTTTTGTTGCATTTTTTGATTTTTGATTCTTTCCAAATAATACGCTAAATTATGTGTCTTATTCATTAATCGTAGAATATGCCGAGAATAATCGCTAGACCAATTTTTACCATATTAGACTGCCTGGATTCAGTTATAGTGCTAAATTAAGTTAAATTTAGTTTCAATTAAATCAATTGGTTATGAATAATTCATACTCCCGTTTCAAAATACTTGTCATTTTAAACTTAATTTTTTTGTCACAAATTATGTATCGTTTTAGAATTTCGAAGAAAAATTTATTAGTTTTAAATAATATTATATTTTTCTATTGGTTGAAAAGTGGTTAGTTATATAAATAATTGTGTTTTTTATCTTGAAAATATATAAAATTAATTGTTTCCTTAATTTGTGTGTTAAAATCTAGAATGATAATTAAAGTGAAACGGAGGGATTATATGTTTTAAGTTTTTCACACTTATTAAGAAAATGCATTAATACTTAGTTATTAATGCTAAGTATTAATGCATAAATTTTGTAATTTTATATTTTCCATATTTATAAACCAATAAAATTTCAAAAAATGCAGTTAATATTTTTAAAATTCACAATTTTTCATTATTAGTTGATAAAAAAGACATTGAAAATCTCAAAAAATACATCTTTTCAAAACAAATTTTTACATCTTTTTGAAACAAAGGGAGTACTATTTATGATGTTCTCAACTTTTGATATGTGAGCTTCTGTGAAATTTATGCCTATAGTAATTTGTGCAAGATCAAATTGAAGTATTTTATCTTTTTTTTTTTTGTCAACATTTTAAATTTTTTTTGTCAACATGGAAGTATTTTATCTAAAAGTGAATTATGATGACAAGTAGCAGACCGAACATATTTATACAGTCGGTAGGTCAAAGCCTATTATTACCAAAATTTGGATGTTTTCATACATGATGAATGCGAGAGCCCATTGTCTATTCATACCGGAATTGAAGCCTTGTATAAAAGTGTTCATATTCTGTGCAAGTTAATATGATACATACGCAACTATAACAAACACAGTAACGTACACACAAAAAACCACAAATGCAGGTAAATGGTTGTGCCATTTTTTCCATTTATTTTCTAGTGAGCAAAATTCACCAAAGAGGTAATAATGACATGGTGTTTTTTTCTCTGGTTTCACCTCACATTTACTTACATCACACAATACAAGTCAAAGAGAGCTACATGGAAACATCTGAAGATTATAGAAAACAGCACACAAACACAACCCTTTTGCTTAATTTCTCCACCTTCTTCATCTATTGGTATCAATTTTACATACATCTCCCTGAGAATGAAACCATGGCCCTTAGGGTTTAAGCATTGCCTCCTTCTGGTAATGTGATCAAACGAGTACTTGAGTCATAGACCATCGCCGTTCCACATCTAAACCAGAAAACAAGTTATAAGAATCAAAAACATTTCAAGAATTATTTCATTTGTCAATAGATTTAGAGTCTACAGATAAGGAGGTTGCTTACCCGGAGCATTTTACATTGTTGGTGGAACCATCATTGGAGATGGATAGTATTGTTCCAAAGAAGGATGTATTCTCTGTTCCACAGTTTGGACAAGGTCCCTGTTAAAGATACATTCCAAGAACATTTAATGAATATTATTAATAATTTGTTTTTTCAAGTTCAAGAACTGATCTAAGAAGATCAATGGTTTTTACCTTCAAGATCAAGGAGTCTCTGATGATCAGCTTGGTGAGTGATAGCGCCAGATATACAATTGCAGGCACCGCAGCGAACCATGTGAAAATGAAACTGAATGGTTCTGGAAGCTGCAAGTTTCAATGTGTTTTAATAAATATTTCAAGAAGATTGTAACAGTTACGAGTTTAATAATTCTCCAAACCATATAGGAAGAGTTAGAAGAGGTTTTACCTCGAGCAAGTAAGTGATTTCAAAACCCGTAAGGTCATCAAGGAAGAAAAACCTGGAGAACAACAATTGACAAAGACAAGTAAGATTATGTTGTGATTTCCAAAGTTGACAGGCCAGAACAGATACTTACAGTCCGAGAGCAACAACGGTTGCTGGTACATTCAACAAGAACATTTTGAAATAATCTACGGCGAGATCACTGTAAACCTGCATAATCAGGAATAAAAAAAAGTATGAAACTTATGGTTTGTTCTACTTAAGAAACTTATGTTATGTTGTATTATGTTCCACAATGTCTTAAACTGTAAATGAAATGGATTATCTCTTACCTTTTTACTACGGAGACTGCATCTTGGACCCTCGCACACAATTTCACTTCCGTCCATCTACAGAAACAGAAAGCAAATGGTGGATCCACATACACATATGTAACAAGATGGATTAAGCCAAAGATATACAAACCTTTAGTTTCATTTTCAGCTTGTCGTATTCTTCATCACTCATGATTGGATTGCCAGACACATAAGCCATTGAAGCTTCAAGGAACCTTTGTTCATCAGAACCTGAAATACAAAAAAAAGTGAATCACACGTCAAGAAACTTTTTTAGCGAATTGATTAAGACGAAACTACAAATCAAATTAGTTTGCATTACTTAGCATGACAACACTGCTTCCTTCCCACATCAACTCTTCTTTAAGGTTATCAAACTCTTCGTTAGACATAGTAGCTTTGCCTTCGTAATAGAATGACTGCAGATAACAATCCTCTCAGACTTAGAAAACTTCTCTATCATATATATGTAACAATTAAATACAAAAAGAAGAAATATTTATTTCTTGTGTGTTACTTGCATCGCTTGGAGAAACTCTTGTTCCATTTCACCGATTGATCTCTTCTCGTTCTTGTTGATGCTACAATAAGGTAA